TCAAACAAGAGTTTAGCTCATAATGAGTTGAGTACAAACTACTGGAATGAAACTACAGGAAGACATACTCTTAGTAAAAATATGTAAAAGAAATGACAACCCAATAGTAACTTGAAGATCCCTTGTGTTGGATAAACAACAACAGATCTCTTCAGTCACGACAGTTCCAAGCAGTGAATACAGGATTAGATGAGAAGAAGGAAACTCTCTAATTCTTTTATAACCCTCAAAGTAAAATAAAACTAAACTGAAAATAAATATGAGCGTGTGAAAATTTCCAGTTGTCTTTCTTCAATGCGCAAGGCTTGCATTTATAGACTTGATTATGAGAGTAGAAGCTGGTGAGTTTTGGATCATGGGCCTTTGAGAGGAATAAGGTTCAACCCATATCAAATTACTAAAATATTCAGCTATCCAATCTCCCTTTGTAAGCAAGTTATTCAGTACAGACAATAATGGGAGACAGGGTGTCTTTGGCAGACTACTGTAGCAGGTAATGGCGCAGAGCAGACATCGGGTGGCTGGGTGCAGGATGCGCTTTTGCAGGCGTGGTCCCTACCGCACTATCTTTTGTCTTCAAGCTTCTTTAGTCTTATATTTATGCTCTAGCTCTTTCTTTACACAAATCCTTGCCAGGTGTGCCTTAATGATAAAATCCTTACAAGCTCTTGGTGAATTACTGATAACAAGAATCAACATCTTCTTTTCTTTAATCTGCTTTCTAGTCCAGACTCTGTCTTGAGGTGTCATGCCTCAGCTTGCCTTTATCAGATTTTCTTTAAAATAAAAAGACATAAAAAAAAATAAAAGAAGCACCTAGTGTGCTTAAGGTAAAAACATACTAAAACAAGTAAATTTAAACAAATCCTAATTAAACTTAAACTAAAACCATAAAAAAAAATGGATCACTATGACATACTAAAATAGAGTTATCACTACGTCGCCTACAAGTTCGTACAACGAACTTATGGTCCTTTAGCTACCGCCTTAAATCTGAGATGGTTCGATAGCTCTTCGCTGACGCACTGCCACAACGAACTTTCACTGGCTTGTTCGCCCAGCAAACTTACAACCCTTTTGCTAATATCTCAAGTCTGGGTGCCTTCACTAGGACTTCGCCAGATGTTCACAAAGCGAACATTCGCTGGTAAGTTTTCCTAGCGAACTTACTGATATTCTTCTCTTCCTTTGGCCTCCTTGTCCATTTCCTTGTGCCTCACACTTTGATGATTTCATGCCTAATTCTGCACAATAACACACACATCAAAGGGACCAAAGACATTTTCATACAATTGAAAAATAACACGCTTTCATGTAGTAAATCCAACAAAACAACACAAAAGAGTTGAAACATACCAATATTAAATGATCAATTTAAAGCAAGATTGACATCTAATGCAAATCTTCACTCGTATCTTCATCATCATAATTATATTCACTTTCACTATGCTCTTGTGTTGAGGACTTTGAGCTAGAAGCCGGAAGAGCAATAAACGTCTTGTCCGTGTCTTTCGACTTCTCTTTCTTTTCTCTTTTCTCATGTTTGTCAAGACTAATGAGCACTTGCTCATGTTCATCAAACTTATCAAACAAAGTTGTGATGTCCAATGTAGTTAGATCATTGGCTTCCTTGATCACCGTGACCTTTGGTTGCCATTCCTATTAAGACATCTCAAACTTTATTAGTGGCAACTTCATTAGAAACAGGTCTTCCAAGTGTGTTTAAGCAATTGATTACATGAGAAAATCTCTTTTGCATTTCAGCAATGGTTTCACCTTGCTTCATGTGAAAGAGATCAAACTCTTGTGTCAAAATATTGATTCGAGCTAGTTTGACATCATTAATTCCCTCATAAGCAACTTGCAATGCGTTTCACATAGCCTTAGGAGAATATTTATAGCTTTCTAATTGTAACTATACTTTTTCTAGCTTTCCAATCGTAACTATACTTTTTCTCAATCTTCTTCGTTCCATTGTGCTTCCGACTTAGGCACAACAACATTATTCGCATTAGTCATGGTTATTTCCATTGGACCATTTTGAATAACGTTCTATACCTTTCTACCACTGAAACTGATATGCACACGCATATAATCTTTCTAATAACTATAATTCTCTCCCGTAAAAACTGGTGCTCTATTGTACGCCCCTTTTGGTTCGTTGGCCATTTTCTAAAAAGTTATATGCGAAATACTAAATAAATTGGTGCTCGTGATACCACTTGTTTGAGGATGGAAATGATCTAGAAGAGGGGTTGAATAGATCACTAATTTTTTAACAAGAGTCGACGCTTAAAATTTTGTTTTCAAAATATGCGGAAGCGGTCGAGGAACGAAATCGTCTAAATGAACCATTATTAAAAAGATCGAATATGCGAAAAGGAAAATGGAATAAAATGTAATGAGTAAACGAAACAATGATTTTCCAATTAATCAATACAAGTAATATTCACTTAGTTTATCCTATTTCGAGTGAATTGTAAAAAGTAAACTTAAATTGGCAATAGCACAAATAGTTTGTGTGCACTCAATATGTCGACCACTTGGTGTGCACAACCCCCCGAGTTGAATTTCCTTGTAATTCTGGTGCATAATTTTTCACAATTACAATCCAAGAGATTATAACTAGTTTTGCAAAATAGAGTTTCAACACTACACAACAGAGGAAATTTATCAAACAATCGAAATCACACAAACGTTAACAACACAAATAAAAGATATAGAGAAAGAGAGAACAACACATATTTGTTTAGGAAATTCCCCTTTTCGTTCTCGCTTCGGGTACGCCTGCCCCCAATTCTAAAACTAGAATTGGGATATTTATTATCATGTTGCAAAGTTTATACAAGAGAAGTAATAGTCACCACCACTCAATCCTAATTGTTGAAGTTTATATTATTCCCTTCTCTCCCTTTAATTCAAGTCGAATCAAGTCGTCAAACGCTCTTAAGAACCCTCCGGTTACCACTACTTGTTTGCATGAACCACCATTCTTCAAACCTTTCACCTTACTGAATCTGTGAGGCAAAGATTTATGCAAAAAACCCCAAATCCTCAAGATCTTAGAAGGTAAAACCCCAATGGTTTTATTCAAGAAAAACCCACTGAATCCTCAACCCAAACTAGATACACAATCCTATGTTTGGACATTATCACCTCGACTATGCACAAGATCAACACAAATTGTTATGTGTAATTGTTGAAGAATGCAAGTGAGAGAGAAGATGATGAGTTAAAATCAGTATATATCTTTCACTTTTCTTGTCATATCCTGTAATGGTGAGACAAATAAATATATATGATGCCAAGACCCAATAACTAACATAATAACATTTTGAAACACAACAGATCAGAAAAATTGTCAATGATGTCGGTGCTGGTAAACGGAAGTCCCGCAAAGGAATTCAAGGTTGAAAGAGACTTAAAACAAGGAGATCCATTGTCTTCATTCCTATTTCTTATTATTGCAGAAGGATTTAATCTTCTTATGAGTATGGCAGCTGAGGTGGGTAACTTTGTTGGTTATAAATTCGAGAACGGAACAGAGAATTTTTTGCATCTTTAATGCGCCGATAGCACAGTAATCATAGGAGAGAAGAGTTGGGGGAACACCAGAAGTATAAAAGCAAACTTGATCTTGTTAGAATTGATGTCAGGAGTGAAAGTTAATTACCATAAAAGTAGCTTAATCGGCTTACATGTCTGCCAATGCTGGCTCAGGGAGGCATGTAATAGATAACTTTTGATTTCAATCATGCCAATATAAATAAAACACTACATTTTAAATACTACTCTAAAGATATCTTATCTATCCAAATGTCACAATAATAAATATCTAAGAAATTTCTAGAATATTATAATAATTAATCTAAACTAATATAGAAAAGTTATAACTTAAATATTCTGACTAATATTTATCTATTAAACTCTCTATCACGATCCCAAGGACCATCCTTGGGTAATCCTCAGCTAGCAAGGAAAAATGGTTAGGTGGTGGATTAGACGGATCGTTGTGCAGATTCGGAGGCTGAGTAGCCCCTGCTGAAGGTTCTTGATTTCGGGTGGGATATTCCTGCAGTGTTGGTGCAGGTCATGGCTCAGGCAGTCTCAAAGAATCTGGGAGGAAGTTTTGTTTCGTCTGATTGTTTTGAATCCCCCTGGCAGACTGTAACTTGAGTGTCTCTTTTCAGAACCGGAGCGGATATGTTTTTTTCTCCTTGTCAATCTAGGAGGAGCTTGTCATCTTGTATCAGGTTTTTGTTTTCAGGAGACTGTAATTTGGCCGTTTCAAAAACAAAAAAAAAAGTTGGTTGTTATGTTGTTGTGTTACTTGTTCAGTAAGTAACTCTTGAATTTCATGTTTAGTTGATAAGTGATAATTGAATAAGAATTAACTCTTTAATCTAAGAAGAAACTCATCAGACCATCCTTTGATGCGTCTGTTTTTGCCTCGTTATCTGTTATTACAACTAGGAAAGCTTCCTCCACCATTTTAATTAAGAATATTTATCCATTGATCATTATCTTTAATCAATTTGTTAATCGTTTCTATGGTCTGTTCTCAATAAACATCTAAACACTTCTTATTTTTAGTAACTCTATCAATCAAAATCATACTCCCCCCAGTAATGCATAATTTCTCCCCTTCGAAATCTAAAGGCTTCTTATTTTCAGTAACCTTATCAATCTAAATCACATGTTCTCTATAAGGCACTACTACTACTACCAACTCATTTCCATAACATATGTTTTTAAGTAAAAATAAATTAAAAAAAATCAAGTAATCAACAATGCATACTTCAACCCCTCAATTTTAAGGACTCTAGACCAACAACATGGTTCAAATGTAATTCCTCAATCTTAAAAGTGTGCAAAATATTACACACAAACATACATAAAACCAAAAGTCCTATAAAATAATTGAGAAGAAACAAAACAAAACTAAGAATGACATAACGTTGTAAAACTATACACTTAACAATCACTGCATTGTAATCCCACTACGATGCCAAAAGTTTCTTGATCCCAACTTTCTGTTCAGATGTCAACCTTGCCGGAAACTTAACATTAAATTTAATCCTTAGATTACCCTTCTTTGAAGGATCTTTTGGAATAGGCATACCTTCCTTTGGAACAACCTCTTCATAGTTTGGATGAATCACATTGTTTATAGGAATGTTCAGAACCCTTCCATCTAATGTTGTGAGACGAACATTGTAACCTGTCAAAGCTTCTGCAAGTGATATCTTCTGTGTCACAACCAAATCATTTCCATCTCTTGTAAATACATTGTGTGGCTTCTCATCAATCACAAACACAAGATCTGCTGGTATCACATTTGGTTGCTCGTTTCCTTTCTCAGGATACGTGATTTTGGTACCTTTTTTCCATCCTGGTTTCACTTCTATTGTTAAGATTTCCTCCACAGGCAAAGTTTTCCTGCAAATTCAGATATATAAGGTGAAACACATACACCAGACACGACACAGATAAAACACGAATGTAATAGTATGTGTCAGTGTCAGACACCAGACACGACATAGATGTACTTACCCACTTGCATCTGCAATTTCCCTTGAGATCTTCATCTTCTTGGTGGTACCTTTATAGAGCTCTTCAAGGCTACAAGGCAACCTATTTTCAATATTAGCTGCCTTGCGAGGACCCTGACGGTGGATAGGCCTATTACCACCATCATCAAATGAAGAAAACATATCATCACCAAACATTCCACCAAAGGATCTAGAACCACCTCTCATACCACTTCCACCATTACTCATTCCTCCAAATGGACTTGAAAATCCGAAAAACTCTGCAAACATGTCGTCTGCGTTTCTCGGATTGAACCTAAACGTTGTTGCTCCATCTCCAGTTTGGAAGAACGAAGCCCCGCCACCACCTTCTTGAGAAGGTGGTGGTACTTGGCCTTTGAGTCCTTCTTCTCCATATTGATCATAAATCGCTCTCTTCTGTGAATCACTTAGAACCTTCATGAAACAAAAAAAAAGAAAAAGACAATAGTAAGATTATATACTAGGTAGAAATAGAAACATAGATTAGATTAGTTTAATGTACTAGGAAGAAAATGAAATGTTACCTCGTATGCTTCGGATATCTGTTTGAAATTGGTTTCGGCTTCTTTTTTATTGTTGGGATTTTTATCAGGGTGCCATTTCATGGCAAGTTTTCTATATGCTTTCTTCAGCTCTTCATCTGTGGCATTCTTTTCAACCTTCAAAATTTTGTAGTAGTCCACACCCATTGTTCTTTGAGCTTTTTCTCTGTTGTTGAATGATTATTAGTGATGCTTTCGAAATTATTGGGATTCAGTTGCAATGGATTGATGAATATTATAGTAGAGAATGAGAAGGAGAAGGAATTATCTGGAATGTGTTGTGTGGAATGGAGAGTGACGAGACGAGAAGAGTGTAGAATCTTCGAGGCGTAAGAACATCTTTGAAAGAGTTTTCTCGTATAATTCTTTTTAGGTGCCACCTGTATTTCAATTGACCCCACAAATGATGTTTATTTCAATACCCCTTATTTGTTTATGGTTATTTTGAGAGAATTCTTATGGAAACCTAATCAACCTTTCATATATAACATCATACATCATTTGTGGGGTCAATTGAAATGTATCATAAATAACCTTTCATATATAACAACATAACAAATTGAGACCCTAATCAACCTTTCATATATAACATCATACATCAACACTTCAATTTGAACTATTTTACTCAATATTTTCATTAGTTTATTCAACAAAGCACTTAAATTATCAATGTTAAAAATGTCCCTATTTGACCCAGCTAATAAAAATATTTGTAAAATAGAGCAATATTATATGATGCACTGCACCTAAGTTTCCAATAACTTAGGAGAGCCAAAATGCTTATTAAATAATCATTCGTAGAGTAATACTATAAAATGCATTGTACATAAGTTCCTAATTGATATCAAGATTTGATCCCTGCATCATATAAAATAAATACAAATATAGTTAATATAATACATTTTTGTTTACTAAAAGTCACATTTGGAGAAGATTATTCATAGTAATTGTCACATAATTCGTCTGTTACAAGTCCTACACAACATCAAAAGCTTTAGATTCAATATAATACATCAAGCATGCGTTTTTTACATAATTAATGTTATCGATTCAAGATGGTGATCTATGACAGAGAGTCAAAATTTTGTCATACCGGTCACTTTGTGGAGCTGTCATAGCATATTATGACGAAAAATCTGCAATATTGACTGATATTTATCATGCAGCGAACTCAAATAATGTATATAATGCAAAAAATTGAATAAGAAATAAGATTAGGTTTTGACGGAAATTGGGGAATAAGAAGATGATTTCTGCAGAGTCTCTCTTTGCCCACAACTTGTGAAAAATCTCATTGATTTTACAACTGCAAGTGGTTACAAGATTAATATTCAAAATATGAGTTACTCTCTTTATTTATAATTGAGCTAGCTTGCTCCCTAAGCTAAAATGCAAAAAAAAATCCCAAAATACCTATTTTGGTCTAAGTCAAAATTTTGTGTCAAGTAATCTGCTGACACTTCGACATCTAATACTACTCGACACACACTACATGTTTCGACACATCCTTATTTATGTCGATCACTACCTACTTCGACACAAAGAATTACAATTCAATACACCACATAATTCATTGTGTATAAGCTATTTACATTTATCATAGATCTTAGTTTCTTGAACACTACGATATGCATTTCTTTCGTCATGATGTTTGCAATCTGATTCTCCGTTTTGCAGTGTTCCAAGTTCATCTTCCCATATGCTATATGCTCTCGAAGGTAATGGAACCCTATTTTGATGTGCTTGCTTCGTCCACGTGCTATTGAATTCTTCTCCAGATTAATATCATACATGTTGTCGATCTTCATGGTGGTAATTGCTTTATGATTCTTACCTATAATCTCGTCGACCAAATTTACCATCCATGTTGCTTGACATGCATAAAGAGAAACAACTATGTATTCTGCTTCACATGACAACAGTTCCACTACTGGTTCCTTTCTTAAACTCCAAGCAACAGGTGCACCATATAACATAAACACATAGCCAACTGTGAATTTTATATCCTCATCATCACTACACCAACTTGAGTCAGTGTATCCCACTAATTTGCATTCTTTTCCTTCATCAGCTGCAGGAAACAAAATTCCATAGTCGAGAGTTCCTTTTAGATCTCTTAGTATCCTCTTTGTCGCTGCTAGGTACCATACCTTTGGTTTTTGGATGAATCTACTCACCATACATACATTGTATGTTACATTAGGCCTTGTGTGACAAAGGTATCAAAGTGATCAATGAGTCTTCTATATTGCGTTGGATCGACGTCATCCTCATTTGTGTCTTTCGACAGTCGCATTCTGGGCTCATTTGGAGTTGCAATCTTGCATCTCAAATCTCTTGAGTATTTCACTTGCATATCTTCTTTGGTGCATCATCAAACCTCTACCACTCTTGTAGAATTTAATGCCAAAGAAGTTTGAGAGATTGCCATGTGGATCGATGCCAATGAGTCTTCTATATTGCGTAGAATTCAATACTTAAGGGATATGACCCAGTTGGCCGATAGGGTTCGACAGTTAGAACATTTGAAAGAAGAAAAGGCTAGGGCAAATAAGAATAAAAGAATATCCTATGTCGAATTCAATGAAGAGGACGAAGGGCCTTACAGTGAGCCTATGAGTTTCGGTGAGAATGAAGTAGATCTCGCTGAATTGAAAAAAGGCACACCATATTCTTGCAAGGTTTTAGCACCTTCGAATGGAAAGAACCCTGCCAAACCAGAACATAATGATAGGTTTCCTAAGAAAACTTATACATTCGACGTCACAAAATGTGACGAAATCTTTGATTTGTTAGTTAAAGATGTGTAAATGATAGTACCACCTAGTGCTAAAATGCCCCCTTTAGATCAAAGAAAGAAAAGAGGGTTTTATAAATACCACAATTTCTTGGGTCATAAAACCTCTCAATATTTTTTTCCAGGGATCTTGTTCAAAATGTTATCCTAGAGGGAAGGCTCAAATTTGGGGAGAAGTCCAAGAACCAGATGAAAGTTCATTTTGACCCTATACAAGTTGTTGACGCTCATTATAGGGAGCCAAAAGAAGTCAACATGGTCGAAGTCGCTGAAGATTTCGACAATGCAGTCAACATGGTTGAAGCCACTGAAGACATCATTAATAAGGTTGTTTTGGTCCAGGTTACCGAAGATCTTGACCAGAAATTTATGAAAGATTTTATTCGAGAAGCTACTGAAGGCTTCATCAAATAAATTACTAATAGTTTTGACTGCGGAGTTACTGATGGCTTCGCCAAAGGAGTTACTGAGGACTCCAACCTTATGATGATAACGAATGAAACTGTTGATGGTTTCGTTCGAATGGAAAAGGCGCTGATGGCCTTAAAATGAAATTTTGTAAGATGGATATTGCTGATGGTGTCAATATGGATATCAACATGGTGGAGATCTCACAGGAAACCCCCATGGAAGCCGAAGAGGAAAGCCTCATAGATTCTCTCCAAAAGTGCCAAAATAAAAAATCTGAAGTTATGTTGTGCCCAAGGTGCAGTGTTGTGTTTGACAAAAAGGTAGCGTGCAACATATAGGGTGTAAGGAAGGCCAAATAAAGGCGTGAGTACAGAGCCTCCTACAAGAAATGAGGTTTCGACCCAAGAAGATTCTCTTCAAGGCAGGATGAAACCAAGCAAAGGGTGTCAGGAGTTAAGTCCTCTACATTTAAACCAACGGCTGAGGCTTTAAAGGGAAGTTGGATGAAACCAGTCGAAGGCAAGCATCAGGGACAACAGAAATGGAAAAAGTTTGATGTCGACAGGGGCTCATCAATGGCTTACCGTAGGGAGTTCCAGGATTCGAAGAAGACAGCCTACGTCTCAAAAAACTAAAAAGGAAAAAATCTAGTGTCTCGATCCTAGTGGAGAAGGGAGCAGCGCAGAAGAAAGGCTCAAAGAGAGGTTGGGGCAAAGGCTGAATCTAGTACTAACCTGCCTACCATAAAAGAGAAAGAGGAGGAACCAAAACCTGTCGATAAGTATCCATGGGGAGTAAGTTGTTTTCCACCTAGGGAGAGGAGGCTAAGAAGAAATACGACCAGGAAATTGATGAAGATGAAATACTGACTGAAAATTTTGACTTTGGGTCACAGGCCTCATTGGATATCATAGTGAATATGGTATCGATTTTGCCTAGAGAATTCGACCATGGAACTGTCTTTATGGTAGTCGAAACAAAGGCCAATTATAACTTGTTGTTGGAACGATAGTGGATCCATGGAATTGGAGTCGTACCATATTCCATGCACTAGAGAATTACAATATGACCACCAGACAACATTTTCGAAAACATTGAGGTTGATCAAGGTTACTTCAAGTCCCCAATCAACCATGTTAACCGGCGCAGTTTCGATAAGCACTTGGCCAACAAATTGCCCCCTAAAAAATTGCTCCATGCAATCCGGCTGACTTTGCTTTCACCCCAAATGACGACATTTACTGTTCATTGTATTTACATCCCGTCCATGGTTTTCGTTGGGATAGAAAGGTGGTAGGAGATGACAACCTTCTGTACCTTGGTATATATGGGATAATCCCAACAGGTTGGGGAAGCGAATTCAGTGATGATGACTGAGTTCAAAGTGCTCAAAAAGATTTCGGCTTACATAGCCGAAAATAACTTACAAGCGGCCTTAGAGGCTGAAGTGGAAAATATAGCTGTCGAATCCAACCAAGAATCATACAAAGGAGGTCCTGGTAAGGATTTTGATCCAGAACCACCCGATAAGGTTCAGGAAAAGCAACAAGGCTAAAGGCTTGATGTCATCTACGATGACGAGCCTTTGGGTTTCGAGAAGGATCCGTTAGCAGCCATTATCAAGATGCTAGCGCAAGATCCACTTGAAGAAATCAACCTATGAGAGGGAGCAACGAATAGGCCAACGTACATAAGTGCCAACGTCATCCCTTAACTCAAGGTCGAAGTAATCCAATTATTGAAGGAGTTTAAAGACTGTTTCGCGTCGGATTATGATGAAATGCCTAGTTTAAACAGAGATCTAGTCAAATTGAAGTTGTCAATCAAGCATGGGAAGAAGCCCATCAAGTAGAATCCAAGGCGGTTTGCACCGGCAATTCTCTCAAAGACCAAAGAGGAGGTCGAAAGGCTTCTCTGATGTAAATTCATTCGTATAGCC